CGGGGGGGACCCTCGCGTTGCTGGTGGGAGGCAGTGGGACCCTCACGTTGCTGATGGGAGGCGGTGGGGACCCTCGTGCTGCTGGTGGGAGGTGGTGGGGACCCTCACGTTGCTGGTGGGAGGCAGTGGGGACCCTCACGTTGCTGATGGGAGGCAGTGGGGACCCTGGCATTGCTGATGGGAGGCGATGGGGACCCTCACGTTGCTGATGGGAGGTGATGGGGACCCTCCCATTGCTGATGGGAGGCAGTGGGGACCCTGGTGTCATCGGGGTGACCCGCTGCCCGCTCGCCCAGGTGCTGGCAGGGCTGCACTTCCTGCACCAGCGCTGCCGCATCATCCACGCGGACATCAAACCGGAGAATGTCTTGCTGTGCGGACGTGACAAAAGCCTCCAAAGGCTTCTGCCTGATACACTCGACTGCGTCCAGAGAAGAGAGCTGAGGCTGCAGGGACCAGGTGAGCACTCCAGGGGTTTTTAACAAAAAAAAGGAACATATGTGTTTATTGCTGGGAGTGAAACAGAGAGGTGCAGGCACGGATATCTTGGGAAAAGTTCCCGTCTCCTGCAAGGGCCAGTACAACCCAGCACAGCCAGCTTACGCTGCCGGGAGGCCTCTCCTGTCTGTGCTTGATGCAAACATCAGGCTGAGCAGCTACAGCTACTCCAGGCACCTGCAGAACCTGGTCTGGCAGGTGGGTTTGTGCACAGGACAACTGCACATGATGGACATCTGCTCACAGCCTCCCCACAACCTCAGAGCTCGTTCTTACGGCGTTAGGTACGGGATGGTTCCCTTGTGTCTGGTGTTTTCAGCCTCTGAAAGCCCCACATACTTGAGCTAAAAGCTGTATGACACCTCTGCTCTTTATTTCCCATATTTCTGAATGGGAGACTTGTATCTACTGCTATCTTCAAGACTTTTTGAGACGTAATTTATTTGCAGAGAATGGGGTGAACACTGAGTAACACGCAGGGCTGGAGGGTTTCTCGAGAGAACAGCTCATCTCCCAGCAATGAGAACCTTCACATTTTCCTCGCACGATGTTCTCCCATGAGCATTTCTCCCAGGACGGTGCTGTTTTGTATCTCAAGCTCTGGGGCAATCGGGGAATGCTAAATTAGTTACCGAGCCTTGCTTGGAGCAGAAAGGCAAGACAGCTCACTGCGAAGCAATAAACCAAAAATTACCCTTTTCTGGGGTCATATGGAAATGTAACCTTTATGGCCCTTGCCACGCAGGCTGTGTCCCAGGTCCCTGACAACCAGGATTGCTGAAGGCGAAGGAGGTATTCCAGATGTTTTGTGTCTGACTAGAGCTGGCAGGACGCGCTCTCCTCTGAGCACACGGTAATTTAACCTCGGTGCTAGAGGAACCTTGCAGCAGGACAGAAGCACGTGGTCACACCACTCCAAGCTGCTGTCCTCCTGAACGTCCTCTTAGATTTTGAGTGGATACCAGCTCTTCCTTTGTGTTTTCTCAGAAAACAGAGGTGACATTTTACCTATGATAAAAAGCACTTTAGGACCTTTTAGGGTGAAAAGCTTTAAAGGCAGGCATACATGCCCCTCCTGTGGTACGTGATGCATACCTGCTGGTTTGGAAAGACCTGACCTCCCTCTGTCCTTTCCATCTAGGACATGATCTTGGCAATCACTTTGAAGAATCTGATTTAATGACCATAGATGTGAAAATCGCAGATCTGGGCAGCGCGTGCTGGACAGTGAGTCTGCTCTGAGTCCCAGTCCCATGACGATGCAGGATGCTGTGTGCTTCTTTCCACCCCACCCTGTGTGCCTGTCCTTTTACAGACAAATAGCTGTTTCAGATGTGAATTTTGGGGGTGTTATATTCAGCACTCCCAGCTCAGTGCTGGGCACTATACTCCTGGAGACACTGTCAACTTTGGACAGTTCTTCAGCTTGCTGTTAGTCCCTACAATTAGAAATTCAGAATGGTGTTCAGTGTGAAATGTTGGGAGATGAATTCACTCTGGTGTCAGCAGGGCTGAGAATGTGCCTGTTGTACCCTGTGCGGTGTTTAGTGCGTGTACTGAGCTCTGACCCGTGTCCCCCTCCCTGTGCAGGCAGCTCGTGACCACAAGCGTTGCCGTTACTCGTTTAGGGATGCTAACCAAAGGCAGGTTGTTTCTGTTTCAGTACAAGCCTTTTTCCAAGGAGATACAGACCCAGCCGTACCGTGCCCTGGAAGTGCTGCTTGGATTAGACTACGGCACTCCTGTGGATATCTGGAGCACAGGCTGCCTGGTAGGACTTGGGAACAATGCTGTGCATGCATGGGAGGTGACAGACCAGGGTGGCATGTCCTCGGCACCCCCCTGTACCCTCTGCATGGGGAGCAAGGCTTCCTTGCTGGGGAGCAAGGGGCTGTCTGCACTCACTTTGGATTGAAAGTATGCTGCTGATAAAATTCACTCCTCATTAGTTTGAGGCAATTAACACTCCACGTATGTTAACTCATAGGCTTGACTGAGTCAGGCACATACTGCCTTTCATCCCAAGGGAGCTAAATGTGCAGTGTCACCATGGTACAGATCAAAGCAGTGTGAATATTTCCATGTTTTAGGATCAGTTTTGTGTGATAACAAGGGAAGCTGGTACCATCAGTTAATGGGTAATTTTTTAATCAGAAAAACTCCAAGTCAGTCACCTAACAACGCCAATCCTTTCTAGGCATTCGAAATGGCAACTGGGGAGTGCCTGTTTGATCCTCAACCCGGGAAGTATTTCTCCAGAGATGATGGTAGGACTCCGTGAGTTTTATTCATTTCCTTAAAGGAAGTGTCACAATCTTTGTACCTAGATGTGTTCTCCCTCTGTCTAGATCATGTTGCTCGTATTATTGAACTCCTGGGAAGAATTCCTCCTCAGATTGCTTTCTCCTGGAACAAGTCAACAAAATTTTTCAGCAGGCCAGGTAAGAACCAGAGTAAGGAAGTTTACTCTAAAAACCACCGGGGATCTCTGACACACTCCTACTCAGCTCACACGGAAAGCCTCCAGAAGTTATGTTACACAACACAGGCTACAAGCAGGGACAGAAGGCAAGTGGAGACTTTCATAAAGAGCAGTAACACTTCCTGCCCTGCCCACCTTTGAAATCCAGGAGTGTTCCTGGGATGAATGCAAAATCCTGAAAAATGATCTTAGCAAACACCCAACAGGGAAAACATTTCCATTCTTTCCCCTTTGGATTGGGAAAGAATGGAAACACGGACAGGAAATACATGTCAGGAAGGCTGAAGAGTGCGTAACTGGCTGGATTTCACCCCTTCGCTGGCAGAGAACAATGATGGTCAGGAGTGGGACGCTCATATCCTTCCACCGTGGCTGCTATATTTAGTCTCCTGACCCAACTGTAACGTCTCTTCTGTTTTATTCTCCCCAATTCCTTTCCTTTGACTCATTAGGCTTGAAATCCTTGTCTTTGACTTCAAGGCACCACATGACTCCATCCTTCTGCAGTTTAGCCTCTCCTCCTCTTGCCCTGATTTCAGCTCCCCAGCCACACAGCCTCAGCCTGCCCACAATCCAGCCTAGTCCCACGCTGCAGCTCCACAAGCACCTCCCTGCACATCCACATCCTCTGCTCGCACTCATTCCTTCTATGGTGCTCCAAAGAAATGAGTCTAAACGAGTTCTTGTTCTACATTCACTCTCCGTGTGAACCAAACTGGCTTGGCCACACAGGCCGAGCCTGAGTCACGACTTTTACACCTGCTGGGGACAAGGAAAGCTTCTCGGTCAGTAGAGTCACTTTTCTGGGCCACAACACAAATGAAACAGGAATGTTGGTGAACTACAGCACCAAAGCATCCCGCTGCACTCCGGATTGCAGGTGCGGAGGGAACCAGCAGTGCTGGCTTTGGCAGGGATACTGCGGGAACGTTTCATCCACCCGTGGCGCGTTCTCATCTCAGAAACACCCAGGAACAAGGATACTCCACACACTAGCTTGGAAAGATGATTTCTGAGAACCACCCCAGAGCCAAACCTGCAAGGGGTAGTGCAGGGGAAGCTCACAGTGAGGAAGGGCAGAGGCAGGGATCCCGCAGCCCTAACCAAGGCGCTGTGCTTCACTGTCTTTGCCAGGCGCTCTCCTGCGGCTCTCCCGGCTGTGCCCCCGCAGCCTGCACAGCCTCCTGCACGACCGGCACCGCTGGACAAAGCCCCAGCTCGCTCCCTTCGCCAGCTTCCTCCTGCCCGCGCTGCGCTACGCGCCCGAGC